TTGGTACCACTTAAATCCTACTTTCTGTATTTAATAAAATCACTTTTTATTCACTAACTCAGAGTATGTATTAATACCTGGGGGAGCAAACAACTGTGCATATCTCTCTATCAGTGTTACAGAGGGTGAACAACTTATGAGTTTGCCCTGCATAAGCTTTATGCAGGGTAAAACGGATTTATTTGGGTTTAGACCACATTGGGAGTTGGACATCTGAGTGCTAATGACAAGCACACTTTTGTGAGCTGTTTTCAGGTAAACTTGCAGCTTTGGGACAAGTGATTCAGACCCTGGGTCTGTGTTGGAGCAGATGGGAGTGTCTGGCTCAGCAAGACAGGGTGCTGGAGTCCTGAGCTGGCAGGGAAAACAGAAATAGAAGTAGTCTTGGTACATTAGGTGTCAGCTCCCAAGGGGGTTTCTGTGATCCAACCCATCACAGCATTCTTCCCTCCTGAAGTTTCTAAACTGTCTGAATCCATCTTCATTTGCTCAGTATATGCCAGAGCATGACGAAAAAGACAATATTCTCTAGGAAAAATGTTTTTTTACCAAAAAGTTCATCTTGCAACATTCTATGAGTATAGTTAGACTTGAATTAAGTCTTCTCTGCCTGGATATCTTTCTGGGTTTGAACTACAAATCTAGATGCAAAATCCTTAAGTGTTAAAAAATAGTGGATGCAAAAGAGCATACAATATGGACAGACTTCCAACTGGACAGATATCCAACTGGAACAAATAGACCCAGTTGGGGTCTGGGGTCTATTTGTTCCATCACATGTAAAGATACAACTGATGGGATGACCGAGTCCCATGTTATTCTTCCATTGGGTGGGTATACAGGAGTTTATCCACCTAATTAGCTACTTATATGTCCACTCTGAATGTATTTTTATTTTGATATCTGAGATTGTCAGCACAATCCAGTCTCCTAGGTGCATAGTACACACATCTCAGGTTAAGTAAGTAAATCCATTTTTTCATGTCTGAATATTGATAACAGACATTGTAGCAGAATATTCTGAAGCCTTCAATATCCACTGTAGCTGAGTATTTAAAAGAGCTTTTTAAAGTCTGCCTTAAAAATGGGGGAAAAATCCAGGAAATTTAAAAATAACACCATTTCTCCTTCAGGTACTGACTCTGCTCGCGCTCCACTTCCAGTGGCCCATGTGTCTTTGATCAGAGATTTTCAGTAGCAGTACTTGTCTCGCCCTCACATATGCTACAGACATCATCAAGCCCCATACTGAGGCTATATAGAGTTACGGGAGCAAACCACTCCCAGTTCCTTCTCAGCTGCCTCTCCCTGAAATGAAGGGTCTGTCATGCCCACTGCTTTGCCCAAAGCTTAGCTTTAGCATCCTCTAGTGTTTAGTTTAGTGTGGTTATTGATTTCTACTTTAAGTATTATATTCTAATTTCTTTACTTCGTTTGAGGGTTATTTTTCCAATCCGTATCCCTTCTCTTCCCCTCCTCCCTACCTGCGAGTTTCCCTTTGGCAATTGTAACTAGGGTATGGCAGGGTCTCTAGGATTCAAGCACTGCCTCACCTGCTGGGAATCTATCCCAATCTGTGGTGGTCACTCATTTCCAGTGCATTTGTTGTCTGGGGGACATGCATATCCCACAAAAGTGCAATATTTGTTCAACTTTTAAAAGCATAGCTAGAAAAATATAGGGAAATTAGTCTCAGACCCCTTATGATGGAACACTTCCTTTGCTATGGATCCAGGCCAAGATACCTGCCCCGTACATCAGTCTCTGAGCACGTATAGTTCAGCATTAACCTCCACACCTTGTTCATCCAGAGTTTCATGGCAAAAGACATCAGAGGGTACTGGGAAGGCCCCCCAAGAAGAGAAGTTAGAGTTCTCATAAAGAGTCTGTTTCAAAAAAGCCTCTGTGTCCTCAGAAATCAAATCAGAGATCTCATGTCCTAGACTGGGTACTGCTTAGGTTCCAGGCTCCTAAGTACTCCGAGCTTTTCAAAGAGCTATGGTACCAAGCATACCTCGGTACTACCTAAGCATAACCGCATCAGCAGAGATTTTAAACATTTGGTTTTCAGAAAGGCTGCATTGACAGAGCTTCCTGTGCTACTCTCGGTAGCTAGACAAGTGACCCAGACTCGTTCGGGACTGACGAAGTCTAACCAGACATCTCATGCTGCTTCAGTACCTCCAAAGCACTTGACAACTTCTGTAATGACAGCTTTCACCAGGCGGGACCTCTCAAAGCAAGCTCCACTCTAGTGAAAACTCATTCATTCTCTATGCAAATCCACCTGGTACTGCAGAAGTTTAGATATTCAAGAGACTTGTTGATCTCAGACAAGCTGAAGTCTCCCACTTAATAGGTCCCAAGTGTATGTTGGTAGTGAGATTGACAGGGTCACTGGGATTGGATCTTTCTACAGTACCATCTGCTTCTCCAGTACTTTCCGAGCTAGGCAGACCTCCTCCTCTAGCTGATGTTGAGATTCCCTCTCTTCAGATTCCCAAATTTCTGAGCAATGTTCCCCTACCTGCCAACATAGGAACAACCTCCCTGACACCTTTGTGGAAAGAGAGGCCCTAGAGACAAGACAACCCATGTGCCTTCTTTTTGGTATATGCAGCATTGGCTGCCATCTCTTGTGCCTTATGACTCCCCTCTGTGGCCACACTGGGACCCTTGGGCCACCTACGGTATCGAAAACAGTTTTCAAGAGTCCCAAGTTTTCCTTTTGGTGACCACCAGGGGAGATGGTCTCTTGCTCCATCTCCTCTTCCTCAACAAGCTCAATTGAAGGAGAAATTTTGATGAGAAAGAGGCATGAACAGACAAGAAAGGTCACTCCACAAACAAATATCAACTCTTCTCCAGATGAGGCCATGATGCCTCCCCCACCTTCTTTGGCTGACAATTTTTTAAACAGCTTCAAGAGCAGATGAAACAAATCGCTGACTTGCCACAGATACCATTAGAGGACCTCCAAGAGTTACGGCATACGTTTTAGACATTCTGAATTTGACAGCCTCACCTTGAGGGACTTTACCAGTAAATGATGCTTTACCAAAACCCACCAAGACCATCTGGCAAATCTTGGCAACGGTACCACCTACATGTAAAAACTACAAACAAGGATTAAATTTCTGCCAAAAAATCAGAATTTTTATTTCTGCAGCCTTCACCCAACTCCTTGGTTGTCAAAGCCGTCAATGAACCTGGCAGACAAAACCAAACTAAATCTACACAATATGATCAGGAGCAAAAATACCTCAACCTGTTTGGCCATAAGCGTTATTCATCTGCAGCCCTACAATTTTAAGATAGTGACACACTTAGCTGTGATTGTGAAGTATAACCACACCAACTATATGGATTTCAACAGCTTTATTGAACACCTTTCTGTGGAACATCCTGAACAGTTCCAGGCTATCACAGCTGAGGGTGAGCTCTTAGCAAGAACTTTATTAAAGCATCCTCAGATGCAGCTGACTCTGCAGCTTGTTTAATTTCCATTGCAGTTGTCCTGCATTGAGCACCAAAATACTGTGGAAGACCTTTCCTTTGAGACTGCAGAGGATGTGAGGGAGGTTCCCACACCTGACCATTCTTTTTAGGTGACAAATCTGAGGAACTGTCCTGGACTGAGGTGTCAGTAGAGGTGGTTTTGGAACAAATTGATAAATTAAACAGTAATATGTCATCAGGACCAGATGGCATTCACCCAAGAGTTCTGAAGGAACTCAAATATGAAATTATGTAACCTGTCATTCAAATCAGTTCATGTAACAGATGACTGGATGAAAGATAAATATGATACCAATTTTTTAAAAAGGTCCCAGTGGCTATCCTGGCAATTACAGTTCAGTAAGCCTAAATTCAGTACCCGGCAAACTGGTTGAAACTATAGAAAAAAACAAAATTATCAAATACATAGATTAACACAATTTGTTGGGGAAGAGTCAACACGGCTCTTGTAAAGGAAAATCTTGTGTCACCAATGTATTAGAATTCTTTTGAGGTCAACAAACATATGCACAAGAGTGATTGAATGGATATAGTGTATTTGGACTTTCACTAATCCTTTGAAAAGGTGACTCACCAAAGGCATTTAAGCAAAGTAAGGAGTCATGGGGTAAGAGGGAAGAGCCTGTCATGGATCAGTAACTGGTTAAAAGTCAGGAAAGAA